GAGTGACAGGGTGAAATAGTCTCTTGTGCTTACATTTGGGCTGTTGTTTCAGTAGCTTGCATGTTTATTTTGTTTGAAATTAAGAATATAAAATACTATGTTTTCTTTTTCTGCTTTCTTCATTGTTAATTTTTTCCACTTTTTTTGACCTTTTCTAGATTGAACAGTTTGTCTATGCCTCACCTCATGATAATAAGTCTTGGGAGATGTTTGATGAGATGATTGCAACTGCTGAGGAGTTCTATCAGTCTCTGGGCATCCCTTACCACATTGTGAATATTGTCTCAGGTACATATACATCCTTAAGTTGTTTATCTCAGAGCAGGCAGAGCAATCCAAAGTGGACAGGAAGAGCAAAACTGCTGCATTCCAAGCCCTGGCTGTTTATACTGGCCAGGACACAAGTTTTATTTTTATTATTTTTTGATATTTTTCATGATACCAGCTCCAGGCTTACATAGCTGATGGGCCCAGAACAGGTCTTTCACAGGGGAACAGAGCTGCTTTGGATACTGAGGGCTGAAAGACAGACCCTTCTATCTGTCAGATGCCTCTTTCTGGTGCTTTCTACCAGCTCCTGCCGGTGAACTACTGGTGGGACCTTACCGTCTATCTCATCACAGCAGGTTCTCTTCTCACCAGCAGAGTACTTCTCACCAGCAACAACTACTCTTCCTAAAAAGAGCAACCAAGATGCAATCCTGGCTCTTTTTACTCATCAACATTAGGGGTTATATTATATTCTTGAGTCTGTATGGGGATCCCTAAAAAGTACACAATGTCCAGCATTGTAGCCTTAATAACTAGTAATTGTTATCTTAATGCATTTTTTCTAAGACTGCAGGCAGTAGTAGGTCAGTAGTTTCCAAGCATGTGGGCAGTTTCCATGTTTAGTTTGCAAACTGGTTCAATTACATAAGTGATCATAGATCTTCCTGTCACTCTTGTTGTCATTTTAGTTTCTGAACTAATGGGGTGGGAGATGTGTCCTCTAGGTATCCATTTTACTATACTGAAGCAATGTCTGAGTGCTGCATCCTGACATTACAGGTTCCTTGAATCATGCTGCCAGTAAAAAGCTGGATCTGGAGGCCTGGTTCCCAGGTTCAGGAGCTTTCCGCGAACTCGTTTCCTGCTCAAACTGCACTGATTACCAGGCACGCCGGCTACGGATCCGCTACGGGCAAACCAAGAAGATGATGGACAAAGTAGGTTGCATTTTATCTTTTGGTGTTAAAATGCTCCCCAAGTGTCTCTCCCAGTATCCTCGTTTTCTAGTCTATAGTTCATTTTTCCTTAGCTTCTTCAGGAATTGTTGCTACTTACCTATAGTAATCTTTAAGGAAGTAACTTTGTTTTGCCACAGCATGATTTATTTTAAAATTCTGCATTTCAGAGCTGAAAGATTGCCCCAAAGATTGCAACACTGAATTCTTTCTACAGGGAGGAGTTAGTACAGATATTGTTTCTGGAGTTAACTTAGAAATGTTTGACTTTTCCCCAAATATATGCCCAGTTTGAGAATGGTGTACTTGTGCATTAAATCTTCTAGCATACCTAGATAACCCACAGCTCTTTATTTAGCAAAAAAAGTATTCTCTCAAAATTATGAAACAATGAATAAAGATTAGGTTTTCCATACGTGTACTCTTATTGTAAGGGTTTAGATCAACAGTGGGAATTTTGTGAGGCTCCAGTTGTACTTCGGCTGCATTTTCCATGACCCTTAGCAAGCGTAGCCAGTGATAAGGGGACCTGTCACCCAAATTAAATCAAGCATCTCTTTATTTTTATTTTTATTATTTAGCTCCTGCTGTCAAGCTTTTAAAAGGAAGGTTAGTTTTTTGTTTGATTTTACCAAAACACACATAATAAATATGCCTAATTCACTGTTTCCAGATGTACAGGCATGAAGGTGTTGGAGATCAGTTGGTTACTCATAAGGTGTTAATTGTATTGTTTAGTTGTATTGATGTATGTTTAGACCAGGGATTCCCAACCTGTGCTCCAAGGAGCCCTTAGGGCAGCCGCTCCATCAAAATGAAAGAAATAAAAATTGAGTGAAATTAAATAATAATAATAATAATAATAATAATAATAATGCAATGATTTTTATATATGCTCTTGAGCACCATTAACTTGTAAGACATAGGTAAATAGGGGCTTTGAGAGTCAAAAAGGTTGGGAACCCCTGGTTTAGACTGAAGGTTCAATCAATCCATTTGACTAGGGAACAAAATAGGAAGTGTTCTTTGGATAAGCTGTTTTAGAGATGATGTTTAGCCTCCTCAAAGATGTGCTTGATACTGAGTGATTTGCATAATGGAGGATGTTAGAAATGTATTTTTTTTTCATCTCATAGGTGGAATTTGTACATATGCTCAATGCCACCATGTGTGCTACAACACGTACGATATGTGCAATCCTGGAGAACTATCAGACAGATGAAGGAATTATTATACCAGAGAAATTAAGGGACTTCATGCCACCAGGTAGAAAATGAAAATGTTCCAACTCTAATTTCCAGTCATCCATAGTTCTTGTCAAGTCATTTTTGTTGTCTTGTGTCTACTTCCTTCTCTTTTGGACTGTGTTATCCCTTTCAAATCATACAGTAGTTGTGCAGGTTTTCTTCTAGGGCTATGGTGGGTAAGACCCAGGAGGCCAGGGGCCAAATTTCTTTTCTGAGAGCCCTCTTCAAGCTGCATTAGCCTCAGAAAATAAATATCCACTTTAGGTTTTGTAAAAACTCCTTTGTGAAGCCTTGGAAGCAAAACATAGGGGTGGAAGGTCTTGCACCTTGTGTTGAAGATAATTGTCAGCCCACAAGCAGCAGTTCTCCTTTTTCAGATTTTTTTTAAAAAACAGGTTTGTGTGGGTCTCCAGGGAGGGACCTAGGGATAGAGAAAACATCCCTGAGGTCTGCATGTGAGCCTCATGATACCCACCTCTGCTCTAGAGCAAAGGATTCTGTAGAATCCTCTCTAATCTGTTTTTTGTCTGCAATCCATTATAACTGTTATTGTTACTGAAGTATAAAGTTGCAGTTGTTTTGCATTTGTTTGAGTGCTATCTGCTTACCTGAGAACATCATTGTCAATTTGGAAGTAGTATATGCAGTTCTGGAGAAGGGGAGGTTGCCTTAATTGTGGCCTGCTTTGCTAGTTATGGTCCTTGACTAGAAAGAGTTGAGTGCATCTCATTGCATTCTCCCTGACCTGCTTAAAACAGCATATTGTCTCCATCTTCCAACAACATGAGACAAAGTGATCGAGAAGCCCATGTGTCAAGGGATGATTTGGTTGGTGAGAATGGAAACTGATAGTACTGTAGTCTGAAAATAGTATTCTTAGTTGCTTTGTGGAAGTGTGTTCTGTCTGCTTAATCTGCACTTAATCTTTTTAGGCTTGAAAGAAATGCTAAAATTTGTAAAACCTGCACCTATTGATCAAGAACTTTCCAAGAAGCAAAAGAAACAGCATGAAGGAGGCAAAAAGAAATCTGCTGCTGGGGACTGTGCTCTAGAAGGGAAGATGCAGAGCATGGATATGAACAGCGCCTGAAACTTTTGCAGGAGTTGTAGCATTAAGGGCATCAAGCAAGGGGTGGGGGGCAGCTCTTGGATATGAATTGCTGCTTTGTTTCATTCTTCCTTTTGCCATGGGCAAGTTATTTTTTCCAACTCTGCTTCCACTCTCTGTAGTACAAGAGGATGATACTTGCCATAGTATCTCTATCAGGACCCACAAATGTTTATCTGCACTTTGACTATGGAAAGTAATGCAGGTGCTGAACTTTTCCCCAGCAATATTTTTTGTTATAAGTTATGGTCATTATGTGTGAGAGCATCGTCTGTCCCAACCCTAGTTGCAGATCTAAGCAGAGGGAACAAAGTCTAGTATCATCTTCATTTACTTAAAATCATTGCATAACAGAAGCAGGCAGTTAAAGCAGAGATAAAAAGGGAAAATAACTGTAAGCACTTGTCTAATATTACTGTTGCGACAGTCTTTGCATTGTCATAAGATTTTATCATGTTCAGTGGGATTCAGTGAATAAAGCAAATATTGAGAAATGGAGACTTCCGAATTTCTGTTTTGTGACTTTTCTGCATTTCTTGGATCCTTTTAACAATATTGTTTGTATTTGCTCAGATGTGGAACACAATTTTGTACACATGTTTTAGTGAAGTTGATAAGGTCTGACAGCTAACAAGCAACAAATTATAATGGGCTCTTGGTGGGATTTTGTTCCAATAATAATAATAATCAATTTCCAAGACCATCCCATGGATACCAAAAGTTCCATTAAATACAATGGCATAACAAAATGTTCCAAATATGAAGTAGCAAAGTCAAGGTTTGCTCTCTGAAATTTGTATCACACACACACACATAAAATTCTCAAGATGTGGATGCTTAAATCTGTGGATAAAGAATCAGTGGATATGAAGGACCAACAATAATAAGGACCTTTTTATTGTTAACCTACTGGCAGTATACAATTGTGTGATATTTCAGCACCAATGATATATCAGTCATGTATTCTGTCATAGATATTCTGTATAACTAATTTGGCAGAAAAGATTCCCCTGTTACATAGCATAATTGATGCCAAACCATCTCTGTTTCCATTAGTTTCTGTACAGTACTCATATGAAATAATATAGTAGAGGCAAAATTATATTTTTAAAACCTGGATGGATCCAAATAGATTTTAGTCTTTTTTTAAAATATATTAATTTGTTTTCTGTAAAAGGTAGGTAGCTATTCCAAAACCTATAAAACTGAAACAATAAAGGTATTGAGATTTGGCAAAATAGTAATATTTATAACTGCCAGTCAGAATGGACATTTAGATTACTGTTGTTTTGTACTTTCAAGTAATTTCTGATTTATGGTGACCCTGTCATGGGGTTTTCTTGGCATAATTTGTTCAGATGGAGTTTGCGATTGACTCCCTCTGACGCTGGGAGAATGTAACTTGCCCAAGGTTAACCGTAGCTGAGCAGGGATTCAAACCCTGGTCTCCCAATATCCTAGTTGAACACTCAAACCACTACACTACGCTGGCTCTTCTATTCTTACTAGTGAAGCTTTGAAAACAATCCTGCTGACTTTGAGCAGAGTGGCCCATGTCTTGCTTTCACATAGAAATCAGTAGAGCATATGCATGCTTAGGTTCCTTGCTTTCAGTCTCATGGAGAAACATACGTCTACAATAATTCAGCCCTTGTTTATGAGAAGTGTTGGATACAAACATCTTTCAAGTGTGTAATTTTGAATAAAGTCCTTGGGTGTGCGCAAGATAGTATTTGGCATACAAGAAGAAGTATTTTGAACAGAGTTTATTAACATAGGGCCTTTGCAGACTGCCAGAAATAGTGCAAATTGAGTCCACTTTAACTGCCCTGACTTAGTGCTGGGGAATCATGGGAACTGTAGTTCATTGTGGCACCAGAGCTTTCTGACAGAGAAGGCTCAATGTCCCAGAAAAAAAATACAATTCCCATGATTCCCTAGCACGGAGCCAGGATAGTTAAAGTGGACTCAATTTGCACTATTTCTAGCAGTCTGCAAAGGCCCATAGTAGTAAAGAGAAGCTCAAATTGAACTGCATTCACAGTTGTCTGTTGCTTTGTTCTGATGTCCACATCTCAGGTTATACCATGGTTGTATAAATTTAAGTAAGTTCTTTTTTCTTTCTGGAAATGTATGAACTACACAGTGGGAAAATTGATTTAAACCAGTGGTTTATTGTTTCTGTGTTGTGAATTCTGGTAAATCAGTCCTTCCTGTCAGCAGAATTTTGAAAGATCTGTGCTATGAAGCCATCTCCAGATACAGCTTGAGTCTCCCTTATCCAGAATTCCAAAATCTGAAATATTCCAACATCCAAAACTTTTTTTCATGGGTGGCTGAAATAGTGATACCTTTGCTTTCTGATGGTTCAGTGTACATAAACTTTCATGTAGAAATTTATTTTAAAATGGTGTATAAAATTACTTTCAGGCTGTGTGTATAAAGTGTATACAAAACAAAAATGAGTTTTGTGTTAAGATTTGAATCCCATCTCCAAGATGTCTCATGTACATATATGCAAATACTGGTATTCTCAGATCCAAAAAAATAAATAAATCTGAAATCCAAAACACTTCTGGTCCCAAGCATTTCGTATAAGGGAGACTACCTGTATTTCAGGAAGTGCTGTCCTAAAGAGTCTAGATCTAATACGGTACAATGCTTCACTCTCTTGTGAACTGAGAATTGTGTTGCCCTCATCGTATTTTAGACAAGAAAAAACCTGGATTCTTAAAAACAGTGGAGAAAATCTATTTGGTCCTCTAGACTAATTCCTGTTCTGACACTTTTATTACCACCTCCTGTGCATAATAACAGTCTGAAGCTGCTTTTGATTGTGGACCATGAAGACCAGAGTGGGGACTGTGATTACGAAGTCATAAGAAGACTAAGAATGGGGAGGGCAGCTATGAAAGAATTTGAAAAGATCCTAAAATGTAATGATATACTTCTGAGCACAGAAGGTAGAATAGTACAAGCCATTGTTTTTCCTGTTACCATATGTGGATGTGAGAGCTGGACAGTTAAGAAAATTGATAAAAAGAGAATGCCTTCATTTGAGATCTGGTGCTGGAGAAGAGTGTTGAGGATGCTGTACAGCCAAAAAGACAAACGAATGGGTCCTTGAACAGATCAAGCCAGAAATGTCCCTGGAAGCCAAGACGACAAAACTCAGTCTGTTGTATTTTAGACACATCATGAGAAGGTGTGACTGGAAAAAACAATACTAGGAAAGGTAGAGGGAAGTAGAAAGAGAGGAAAGCCACATGCTAGATGGGTGAACTCTATTAAGGAGGCCACAGGTTGAATTTACAGGAACTAAGCAGAGCAGTTGAGAACAAGGAATCTTGGAGATGTCTCATCCATAGGGTCGCCATTGGTCAAGATCAACTCAAAGATAGTTTTTTGTGGGTTTTTTGGGCTGTGTGGCCATGTTCTACAGGAGTTTCTTTCTGACATTTCACCAGCATCTGTGGCTGGCATCTTCACAGATGCTGGTGAAACATCAGAAAGAAACTCTTCTAGAACATGGCCACACAGCCCGAAAAACCCACCCCACAAAAAACTATGGATGCCGGCCATGAAAGCCTACGACTTCACAACTCAAAGATGGTTAACAACAACAAATATGAGGGGAGCTTTCCTCCCACATGTTACTGCTAGGCAGCATTTACTGTATAGATTACATTCTAATGCATGCATGCAGTTTATTTCAAGCCCACCCGAGTCTTAGGTCTAGATCATTCAGGCAGTCTTCTCTTCCCTGAAAATACTTCTGCAGTCTATCCAGTGGTTGGGAGTCTGAGAAAGAACTAGCTTCCAGTGTGACCCGGAGAAGTACAGGAAGGTGGAGATGGTGATGATTTATATAGTGCCAGTGCTGTACATGGCACTTTACAAGTAAAAACAACCAAAAATAGTTCCCTGCCCTCAGGCTTACAATTTAATTCATGCATGACACAAAGGGAAAAGGGAGTGGCGATAAAGGAAGAAATCAAGTTCAGCAGATATTGGCTCTTTTCTCTCTCCATGGCCAGGGTGGTGGCAATTGGGATGGATGGAGGACCTTTCATCTACTAACCAGTAAGGAGGGTGAGTTTGGGCCTTTACAGACTGTAGAAATAATGCAGCTTGAGATCGCTTTAACTGTCCTGGTTCAATGCTAGGAAATCGTGGAAATTGTAGTTTTTCCCCCCTCTGAGACATTGAGCCTTCTCTGTCAGAGAGCTCTGGTGCCACAATAAACTACAATTCCTATGATTCCCTAGCACTGAGCCAGGGCAGTTAAAGTGGTCTCAACCTGCATTATTTCTGGCAGTCTGTAACGGCCCTTTAATGAAATTCAAAGTGAGAATTAAGGCAGTCACTATTACTGTACATGGTTAGAGGACAGCATAGTTAAACATATGCCATAGGTTTGAGAAAAATTGGTTTTAATAAGCTAAAGAGAAGAGGTAGGCACATCTAGCCATTGGATTTTGAGAGTAAAAGGAGTCAAGGATAGGAACTATTGAAAGAAGAGTTCTAAAGGCACAATTGCAGACTATTTTAGTGGGAGATAGGAGGCAGTTAAAAAGCCTGTGTGACAGCCAACTAAGAATCTAGAGAATTGAAAACAAAAAGGGCACATAATTGGAAGAAAGGATAGCTCAGCCAGGACAAATAGCCTAGACTTGTAAGGGTAGTGTCAGAAAAGCCAAAGCTCAGAAAGTTGTCAACAACAGAAAGCTTCTTGTTGAGAGGATAGACAAAGTGAGAACACAAATGTGCAGTTTCCAAAAAGAAAAATCCAGGAAGCTATGTTCTGATTGTCACTGATGAAGATTAAAACAAATTATAAAGAAGCTGTTTGGGAAACACGAGAAATCCAGCCTAGCAGAACTGCCTACGGGTTTGTTTGACTGTAAATTTCACAGACCCATTTTATCTTGTTTGTTTCATATTAATAGTTTTGTGGATTGTGTGCTCAGGATATAGTTCATCTTGGTTTCAGTAATCAAATTCACAATATTTTGATTAAAATTTTGGTGAAATGTAGACTGGGTTCTTGTTTGCACTGAGCCACACTGGATGGCTTTGATCCAGACACTGACTTATCTTACAATGTTGTTGTGTAAATAAAATGTTGGATGAAAAAGGAAGCTGGAGCTTTTTGTTGTTGTTAACTGTTCTCGAGTCAATCTTGATCCATGGCAGCCCTATAGATGAGACATCTCCAAGACCCTCTGTCCTCCACTGCTCTGCTGAAATCCTGCAACCCCTTAATACCCATGACCTCCTTAATGGAGTCCATCCAACTGGCATGTGGCTTTCCTCTCTTCCTACTTCCCTCCACCTTTCCCAGCATTATTGTTTTTTCCATAGAGTGCTCTCTTCTCATGAGTGTCCAAAGTACGACAGCCTCAGTTTGCTCATCTTGGCTTCCAGGGAGGTTTCTGGCTTGATCTGCTCTAGGACCCATTTGTTTGTCCTTTTGGATGTCCATGGGATCCTCAGCACTCTTTTCCAGCACCACAACTCAAACTTTCTTCCTATCATCTTTCTTAACTGTCCAGTTCTCACATCCATACATGGTAATAGGGAATACAATGGCTTGTATGATTCTGACTTTTGTGCTGAGCTGTATATCTTTGCATTTTAGAATCTTTTCTAGTTCTTTCATAGCTGTCCTTCCCCTTAGTCTTCTTCTGATTGCCTGACTGCAGTCCCCATTTCTATCAATGTTTGACCCCAGGTATGGGAATTCTTTTACCACTTCTATTTCTTCATTGTCTAGGTTGAATTTGTGAAGGTCCTCAGTGGTCATTATGGTTGTTTACTTTATGTTCAACATTAAGCCTGCCTTAGCACTTTCTTTGATCTTCCTTAGTAGGTGTTCCAGGTCTGTGAGGTTTTCTGATAGTATTATGGTGTTGTCTGCATATTTCAGATTGTTGATATTCCTTCCTCCTATTTTTACTCCTCCTCCTCCTGTGTCCAAGCCTGCATTTCTTATATGTTCTGCATACATGTTGAACAGATAGGGTGAAAGGAAGCAGCCTTGTCTGACTCCATTGCCAATTGGGAACCATTCTGTTTCTCTGTGTTCTGTTCTGATAGTAGCTGGAGCTTAACAAAGATAAAATAGGATATAAATATTACTAACCTGCTGTCCCTCAAAAGGCAAAAAAAGATTCTTCTGGGCTCTTGATCTTCCAGCCTGTCTACAAAGGCAATAAATGTTCCTATTAGTCTCAACTTGCACCATCTGAAATTCCTGTTCATCTTTTAGTCTCTAGGAAAGCAGCTATTACAATGGAAACATCTTTTTCACACAAGAAAGCTTGACTTGTGCTGTGTTATTGCCAGTTGGTGGCAATAGAGACAATAATTTCTCTGGCAATGTTTTTATGCATCCAAAGTAGAAAGGAGGCTGTTTTGGCCTATAACCAAATATATATATATGCCATACTTAACATATACAATAGAACTAATGAAGATATTGCAAAATGA